CACTCCCTCGCATAGTGCTGGGCACTGCCGCATATGCGACAGGTGTTGTTGAGGCGGTAGCAGGGTCGGTCCCCATGATCCCTGCCGCAGTACTGGCAGATCTTTCCACGTGCTGCCCCCATAGCCTGAGGAGGGGCCTGAACAGCAGGCCTGGGTCTCTTACTGGGTTGGGCAGGCATGGTAGGCGCTGGCCTGCGGAGCGGGGCTGAGGGTCGGGAACTTCCTGCTAGCTGAGGGCGGGTGTCGAAGCTCCTTTCTATGATCTGCGCCTTTGGCAGGACTGCCGAATATGTCTCGAGCTCCATCACCAATAAGTGCTGTCTGATCGCCCGGCGGAGGCCCCCACTAAACCGAGCGGCTCAGGATAATTCGCTTCGGGAGGATCTTGACAGACTGTATGAGATGGTGGAGGCTCTCGTAGCTGCCCAGCGAAGGCAAGAGGAGAGAAGGGAGTTACCTGGACCTCCTCCGCTAGCGCAGGTTGAGCCCCCACTACAGCAGGCTGATCCCGTACCACCCCGGCAGGAGCCTGTTCCTCCACAGTACCAACCGGCACCACAGCCGCGGTACGACCCGGTACCACCGCCACAGCACTTTCCAGTGCCCCCACCACATCAGCAGGTTCCACCACAGGGTCCCCCAGTTCACCCTCAGCCGGTCCCAGTCCCTCTATAAGGAGTGAGCTATACTAGCTCAGTAAGAACATCACGATATCTCACCGTCACGGAGGTAAAGGTGGGTAGAAAAACACAAAAGACCAATGGAGCATGATTTACAACAAATCCTTTTTATTTATGATAAAACCTTTACCATCCACTTACCTCGGTGGAATTCATGAAGCAATATAAGAAAACAATAACATTATCACAAACATAGAATAATATAAACTGTAAAACATAGCACTTATCACACCTTTTGTAATTCAATCATTATACAACATATCCTTTTCTCATTTACCAGCCTACTAGTATCCATGGGGGTCCATAGGGGTCCCGCTACCCGTTAACTTTTAACATTCATAATCAGTTTCCAGGGCCGTCCCCATACCCCGTCCGGTATGGGCACCAAAACCATAAACCTCAATACCCCGTCCGGTATGAGGGTGAAACGGGCCGTCCCCATACCCCGTCCGGTATGGGCGCCAAAACCATAAACCTCAATACTCCGTCCGGTATGAGGGTGAAACGGGCCGTCCCCATACCCCGTCCGGTATGGGGCGCCAAAACCATAAGATCTCCCATACCCCCGTCCGGCATGTGAGACCACAATCCCGGTAGGGGTTCCCTACGGACCCGGTCCGTCCACCATCTCCCAGGATATCTAGTCAGGCTAACCCCATCATACAATTATCAGTCTACACAATTTTACATTTTCCTTTTCCTCAATAAGCATCATCAATTCACATTTAAACAAGCAAATCGTAATTCATGCCAAACAGACAACATACAGTATCAGTTCTTCAGTCTTTCAACCCATAATTAATAAAACAGTAATATATGCACTCGAAACTATAAAATGAACACATCAAACCTCATAATGCATTTAAAACTGTAAAACAGGCCAAATAACAGTAAATCATAAATCACACTAGACTCGGGCTCCATTAGCAACCTTAAGCAATTTCACACATGCGTTAATTCAAGAAATACCGTTTTATCATTTTGAACTTTAATACCGTGATAGGAAATAGGGTGAGGGGTCCTTACTTGTTTTCGGGATCCAAATACGATTCACAGTGCGCCTACAGGCCGTCCCTAATTTTCCCTGAATTTTTTCCGGGGAACTGAAACACACTAACGGTACCTGCACGTGTTCCAAAAAAAACCCAAATTAGGCCCAGGGCCTCTTTCGGCCCAAATCGCAACTCCGGCACGGCGGCTCCGCCGTGCTCCGGCGACGGCGCCGCCGCTGGCGGCGGCGAGTCGCCTCGGGTTGGCTGTTTTCGGCTGAATTCGGCCACACTCGCATCGGTCCCTGTGAGAAAACAACCCTAGGGCCCTCGGGGGGCCAAAAAATCACGGAAAAACGGAGCTTACCGGCGGCGGCGCTCTCGAGTGCGACGGCTCTCCGGTGAGGTTCGTGTTTTGGTGATTCGGCTCCGGTCAACCTGTAGAGAAAAGAATGGTGATCACGGTGATATAAAAATTGCATCAAACGGAGGCCGGGAAGTCCCTCGTCGGAGGCAAAAACCGAGAGGGGGCGCGGCGGCGCCGCTGGTCTTTGGCCGCGTATTCCGGCCGTTTGGCCGGGATTTTGGCTTCGATTTGGCCATAGGAGGAATCAGCGTGGAAAAACGAGTCGGAGGTATGAAATTTACCTCGATCGGCGGTCGGAAATTTCCCCGGTGCGGCGGCGGGTGGCGGCGGTCGGCCTCTGGTTCGTCTTCTCCGGCGAGCGGCAGGCGGCTAGGGTTTGTGGTCTGGTGTGGGGGTTCTATTTATAACCCCTTGCCCTTTGATCTCAGCCGTCCATTTTGTTTTAATCTGTGTCGTCCGTTTTTGATTAAATCTGGGCCGTCCGTGCGATTAAATCTGGGCCGTCCGATCACGCGATTGATCTGGGCCGTCCGATCGCACCCACGCGGATCGCCAACGTGGCCCGTTCACGGTGATAGGCCCTGAGCCGCCGTGTCGGAGTTGCGATTTGGGCCGAAAGAGGCCCTGGGCCTAATTTGGGTTTTTTTTGGAACACGTGCAGGTACCGTTAGTGTGTTTCAGTTCCCCGGGAAAAATTCAGGGAAAATTAGGGACGGCCTGTAGGCGCACTGTGAATCGTATTTGGATCCCGAAAACAAGTAAGGACCCCTCACCCTATTTCCTATCACGGTATTAAAGTTCAAAATGATAAAACGGTATTTCTTGAATTAACGCATGTGTGAAATTGCTTAAGGTTGCTAATGGAGCCCGAGTCTAGTGTGATTTATGATTTACTGTTATTTGGCCTGTTTTACAGCTTTAAATGCATTATGAGGTTTGATGTGTTCATTTTATAGTTTCGAGTGCATATATTACTGTTTTATTAATTATGGGTTGAAAGACTGAAGAACTGATACTGTATGTTGTCTGTTTGGCATGAATTACGATTTGCTTGTTTAAATGTGAATTGATGATGCTTATTGAGGAAAAGGAAAATGAAAGATTGTGTAGACTGATAATTGTATGATGGGGTTAGCCTGACTAGATATCCTGGGAGATGGTGGACGGACTGGGTCCGTAGGGAACCCTACCGGGATTGTGGTCTCACACGCCGGACGGGGTATGGAGATCTTATGGTTTTGGCGCCCATACCGGACGGGGTATGGGGACGGCCCGTTTCACCCTCATACCGGACGGGGTATTGAGGTTTATGGTTTTGGCGCCCATACCGGACGGGGTATGGGGACGGCCCGTTTCACTCTCATACCGGACGAGGTATTGAGGTTTATGGTTTTGGCGCCCATACCGGACGGGGTATGGGGACGGCCCTGTAAACTGATTATGAATGTTAAAGGTTAACGGGTAGCGGGACCCCTATGGACCCCCATGGATACTAGTAGGCTGGTAAATGAGAAAAGGATATGTTGTATAATGATTGAATTACAAAAGGCGTGATAAGTGCTATGTTTTACAGTTTATATTATTCCATGTTTGTGATAATGTTATTGTTTTCTTATATTGCTTCATGAATTCCACCGAAGCAAGTGGATGGTAAAGGTTTTATCATAAATAAAAAGGATTTGTTGTAAATCATGCTCCATTGGTTTTTTGTGTTTTTCTACCCACCTTTACCTCCGTGACGGTGAGATATCGTGATGTTCTTACTGGGATAGTATAGCTCACTCCTTATTTAACCATTTCAGATCAGGAAGACATGGTTCCCGAGCCCGTTCCGCAGGAGGACGACGAAGGGGATGCCTAGAGACTCTGTAGCCATACTCATAGTTTTATTTTCGAGTTTCTCTCTTAGTTAGTTTAATCTTTTATACTTTAAGTACGTTTTTGGTTTTCGTGTAAGGGATGTTAACTGAAATTTTGATCTCGCTTCCGCATTTAATATTTATAATATAATTTCCATTTTTTGAATTACCGGGGCTGCTACATAAAGAGTTCAACCAATTGGACCTTTTGGAGGGATTGTCTGGCTATAGCTTGACCATCTTGAGAGAGCACCTATACAAGTTCCAGGCACAGATCCTGAAGAATGTTGCAAGCCCAAAAAATTGATTCATCTAGGCCTGTAGTTCATATAGGGTAGGATGTCTTATGGTTGCAATCGGGGAGAGATTATCACCGGGGCCACTCATTGTTACCCTTTTCTTTCTGTAGAAACAAAAAAAAAAAGGAAATGATTGTCAGATCCTTCAGAATGTCGCCAAAAAATTGGATTCATCTAGGCCTCTCGTTCCTTTTGGCTAGGCTGTTTTATGGTTACACAGAGAGAGGTTATCCCACTGGCCGCCCATTTTTACTCTTTTCTTTCAGTAGAAACCCCCCCTCCCACCACCACCAAAAGAAAACAAAAAGAGGAAATGATTGCATGTAGGCTCACTTTGGGCTTTGAAGGAGGTGTTTTTCTTTTTTATGAGATACAAGATTGGATCAAGAAACATATTTTTTCATCCTTACATCGACAATTCCTCTGTATTGTCCTAATCTTGGGATATCACTTGCAGCTGCTCTATATTTTCTCTTCTCTTTCTTCTCCCTATTTCCTCTTTTTTACTAATTTTTTCAATATAAAATCTTTGAAGAAAGCATGATATTTTTGTTTTATCATTTTTCTAAATTATCCTGCAGGTTATATGCTCCCGGACATGTATTTGTCTGGTTTATCCCTCTTGTTTTGTTTTCCTTTTTTGTAAGAAAGCAGCAAAAGCATCCTCTTGGCATTTTCCACTGAGGTTACTTGATGCATGGCATATTTCAAACCATCTAATATTAGCATGTTTATTAGCTTCTCTACCTCTTTGTAGATTATTTCAAAATCCTAACTCTTAAGCATGCCATAGAACAAACTAACATATTGGCTTCTTATATATTTTATTTCTTTTTGTTCATAAGGGATATTCATCTTTGGCCGTTGCATTAGTTTTACCAGATTCAGGTTGTTTTGTGGCCTGTGAAAGAGATGCTAAGTGTCTTGAGGTTGCCAAAAAGTATTATGAGCTAGCTGGTGTTTCACACAAGGTGAGAGAAATGCTACCTGTATACCTTTTCTTTCCAAGTAGCAACGTGGTAAATTGCTTCTTCCTGCAACAGCTAGAAAATTGTCTGTACCACTGCTGTACTTCGTTTTGAAATGTTGATTTAATAAAGTTGTTGTTACTGAGGCGCTTCCATCTTTATCCCTCTTGCTGAGCAGAAACCTATCATATTGAGCTCTTTAGATTAAATGTACTAAAAGTGTGGCGCTTTTCTTTTAATAGCAGGCTGGGTATTGGGACTGCTACTAGCCACCATATGGTGGCAATATAATCTGTGCTCATATTTCTCTGAAATAAGGATCAACTTCTTTTTGAGTGTGTTTATAGGTGTCTTAAAAGGTTTTTTCTACTTAACTTTTCTTTTTTGTATGCTTCTGATTCTATCATAATATGCTAATCAGGTGATAGTAAAGCATGGACTTGCAATTGATACCCTGAAGTCTCTGCTCCTAAATGATGAAGCTTGCAGGTGAATGTGCCCCATACCTTAGGTTTTCCTAGGCTAGACCAATGGTAGTTTCCGAATGCATTGCATTATGGCAACGTGGAAGTCTGCAGTGAGAATTTGCTCATCAATCATGCTATAAATTTCTTTTTCTTTATCTGTTTTTCTTAACCACTTGCAGCTTATTTTGTCTCAGTTTGTTTTGTCTCAAAGGACTTGTTTCCATATCATCTTTTGTGTAGTTATGATTTTGCATTTGTTGATGCTGAAAAGAGGATGAATCAGGAATACTTTGAACTACTACTACAACTGGTAAGAAGAAAACGGCAATGTTTTAACTGTTTTCTCTAGATTGATTTCTTTGTCTGCTTCCTTGGTTAAATACCTCATAACTTCTCTTGCCAAGAGTTAAGAAGTAGCTGTTTGTCTCTTACTACAGGTTAGGGTTGGTGGAGTCATTGTTGTTGATAATGTCCTTTGGCATGGAAAAGTCGTCGACCCAATGGTAAATCTCCCAGTGTTATTTGTGGATCTTTTCCATTGAAATTTTCTGTACTAGTTATATTTCTTGAGCAGGTAAATGATGCTAAGACCGTCAGCATTAGGAACTTCAATAAAAAATTGATGGAGGATAATCGTGTAAGCATCAGCATGGTAAGTTTATGATATTCCTTTATGTGATATAAGTTCTATAGAGCTCTTTTCAGTTGATCTGTAAATCAAATTTTGGTATGTTAGGTACCAATTGGAGATGGGATGACAATCTGCTGGAAAAGGTGATTCTATCACGAAAAGGATAAATTCTGATTCACTAAATTAGTCCAGAAAAGCAGTGTATGATTTGGAACTGGTATGAGACTGATCTCCTTGTGGCATTCGTTGGAAAATATATCTATATCTCAGAAGTCAGAAATGCTTATCAAGGAGAATTCAACTGATTAATACCGGAATCTCTTGGTCATGCCTCTTGGTCTTGCCTAAAACCACCATACATGTCACCTTATCTTGGTAGGCCCAAAAGTATTTGCAGCTACGAGCGACAGGTTTAATTTTTCGATGTCACCTTAAGTTTTTGTGGACTGATTGTCATTTGAGTTAGGAAAGTTAAATTATTGGACAAAATGGTTGTTTAACTCTTAAGTCTATTTGGTACTAGATATTATTTTAATTTGATAACTTTGCATTAGTACGATCTTAAGTTTAGTAAATCTGGTTGTAATTTTTTATTACTATAATCTTAGAATTTCATCTTATGAGTCTTTAGTATGATGAATCATAGTGATGTCAAGAACTTGAATGCCTAGTAGAACTGTTATATTTCTTTATGATATGGAAAACGTATGTAATCCGTAAAGATTCATTTAATTGGCAAATTTTTTTCCTTCATTGTTCGTGAATTCGACTGTTATAAGTAGTGAATATTCTATTGAATGTGTCATTACACCAATTTAGAAGAATGTGTTCTTAAGATCTATGCAGTTGGAAGGCAAGGTGAGAAGCGTTTGGCCTACCAAAATTCTTCCGACCTGACTCAGATAAATTTTTTTTAAATCTTTTAGTAATAGTATTTATATTAATGTAATAACCCGTGCAGTACAAAAATTTAAAATAATTTTTAAATATTTTATTGAAATTGGTCAGACTCAAATATAATAAAATATTATGTCATGGTATTCGGGTGTCAAGGTAGATTAGTATTTACATTCAAAAATAAGAGAGACAAGAAATTGTTAATTGAAAAAACCACGGTCTAGATATTTGATTACCTTGTGGGAGCTGCTACGAGAGAATCTACCACTCATCTTGTAGGAGCCACAAAGAATCATGGTTAACCACGTTAGATACTGCTTTGGAGTGAGACGGCAGAAGATAGATATATATATATTCTTTTCTAAATAGATTAATATCTTGATACTTATCTTTTAATGAGAATTAAATTATTAAGGGTATTTGATTGGTTGTCTTGAATAAATGATAGAATATGGTATTTGATTATTCTAAAACAACCAGATATAAAAGACTTCTTTAAGTTTTCCTATAGTCAAATGAAACACACCTCTCTCTGCTCAAGTGATGTTATATATAAAATAATATACATATATATATATATATTTAGCCTGGTCAAAGCAAGAATAATTGATTGTCATTTTCCCTACTAAATTATAAAAGGTTTTATCTCAAACTCCATTTACAGTAACCGTCAAGGCTCTCTTTTGCTTCTATATTTATATTTATTGACACAAATTTTTGTTTGGCATAAAAAACTGTTTCTGCTCATAGACACAAACAAGAAAGAACTCGGCGTGAAGGCACCGATGACATCATCCACCAAATAAACAACAAAAAAAGAAAGCGATTTCCAGCTCCCTCCTATTTGTCCTCTGCACAGAATTTCAAGCTATGGCTCTGATGGGTGCTCCAAATAAAAAGACAAACAGGAAAAACCCTCATCCTAAGGCCAGCATAGTTAGCAACGGAAAGCAACTTGTTCAAGAAACAATAACAATGTCAATCCAAATCTTACCCCGCTGATATCTAGGCCGATTTTTCCCAATAAAACGCCATATTCATGATCCAATTAAACATCATTTGATACCCATTTACACAAAAACAGATACTCCTTCTGACAGAATCTCTGAGCATCGATCATGGGGTTTGTAGGGAATGAAGAAGCATCCAAAGTAACAGTACAGTCTTCTCGTTTCAGGTACAACTCACCGCTGGTCCAGGTGATATTAATTGGGTTTGTATGCTTTTGCTGCCCAGGCATGTTCAATGCGCTGAGCGGCATGGGAGGTGGTGGTCAAGTCGACCCAACTGCAGCCAACAATGCCAACACTGCTCTCTACACCACTTTTTCTGTTTTTGGAGTCCTTGGTGGTGGCATCTATAACATCTTTGGACCTAGGTTAACCCTTGCTGCGGGTTGCTTAACTTATGTCCTTTACGCTGGTTCTTTCCTTTACTACAACCATTATAAAGATCAGACCTTTGCCATTATTGCAGGCGCTTTGCTTGGTGTAGGTGCTGGTCTTCTTTGGGCTGCACAAGGTGCTATCATGACTTCGTATCCTCCCCATGATCGCAAAGGCACTTATATCTCTCTTTTCTGGAGTATTTTCAACATGGGTGGTGTTATTGG